TTTATTTACCAACCAAAAAAAAAAAAGCAAAAGTCATAGACTTTTAAAACTTTTAGACTAGATCGGGTAAAAAGAAATTACACAATGAAGCTCTGAAAAGTTTCCAGTCAAACTGACTTTGTTTTTAACCAAAAGAGTGTGTACACTAAAAATACTGAAAGAAAGAATCAAAACCGCGAATGTCAAAGATATTTCGAACACCTTTCAGCTACATTTTTCAGTTATGTTAATTAGAGGGTTCAAAATTTAATATATTTATATTTTCCAGAAAACACCTTTCAGAAAAAAAATATTTTACTTATATACAATATAGTTTTTTAACGAAGGATGTTCTACGGACTAACCCGACATTATAGCCCAAAACAGTATGGGAAAGTAGATGGCTGGACTTGAATGAGATCTGCAGAAAGATTAACTGAGATTACGTTTAGCAAGAAAACTTGAGATTTACAATTTGCAAAAAATATTACGTAATAGACTTATCTTGATGTCAATATTTTTGACAAATCAGTACTCCGAAGAGGCGAAACAGAAGTAGAAGATCAGTATCCCCAAATTTATTCATGTTAGTGCGTTCCAAAAAGAATGATACATTTGTACAATTAAAAATAATTCAATTTTAAACTTTTCATTTTACTCATTTTATCCTTAATGAGAAACTTTTATAATCACACAAATGTCATGATCTTACGGAGCTTTTACCTTTTAAGTTGATAAGACCACAAGTTTCAAAAAAGAAAAAAAAATCTTTCTTAAACTTCGTACTGAATCAAACTACCTCGTTTAAATAAGATAGAAAAGAGTATTATTTTCAGCAACGAATTTGGGAAGAAGAGTATTCTGCCCGTTGATTTCAATGTATAGTAAAGGGCCCTAGTGAAGAGTAGACTGACAGTGTAGTAACTCAATTTTCTAGGGACAGCACCTGCTACTCCTAAATATGCGGGGAGTATCTCTTTTTCTCCGCGGAATATGTAGGGAGTTCTTTTTTTACTTAGTTCTTGCAATAAAGTTAGTACTTAATAAAATAAAGAAATGAATCTCATATCCAAAAATCATGTTTAATCCTATCGCATTTGTTCAACTTATTCAATTACGTTTTTGCTTGTGGTTGATAAGAATGATAAATAAAACTAAAATTGCAAATATGTTATTCCCTTTATCTCAAATTATCTGTTGTGTTTCTCTTTTATACGTCCCTTAAGAAACATTAATTGGGAAAGGGATTAAATTATTTTACCCTTATTTATGTCTTAAATAAAATCTCTCTTCATTGAATATTTATTCTATTTATGTATTATCTCCATCTTCAAGAATAATTATTACTAAAGGTAAAAAATATATAAAAAAAATTAATTTTATCTTGAACTTCTAATATAACAAATAATTTGAGACAACTATTTTTAGTAACCACGACTGATATTATAAGACGGAGGGAGTAAACAAATAGTATTCTCGATATCCTATTTTATGTAGTACACTTTCTTTTTTTCCAAAACTGATGACACCTTTTATATTTAGAAACACTTCTGATTTTAAACTTTTAATTTACTCTCACCGAGATGATGTATAACTATACAAATGTTTAATTAAAACTTGTTTTAGATCACAAATTTTAAAATATTATTTTTTCTTAAACTCGTCCAACCAAATAAAATGAGACGTAAAGACTGAAAACTAAAAAAGAAAAAGAAAAAAAAAAGACACACTAACTAAAATATTATTTTTGTATTTTTTTTAATCTTTTATGTCTTTCAATTTTCTTAACAAAACCACTTAACCCAAATTAGGAGCGCGGTGCATGGAGTATTTTATCAAAGAGAAGAAACATTACACATTGAGGAATGCACAATTCCCCATATGGAGAAATCTGCGCAGGTCAAAATCCATTAATCAATAAGGTCAACTTAAATAGAGGATTTCTAGATATCTGCGACTGCGAGTATTAATTTAGTATATATTTTGAACTAACTCACAATCATGTGCAACTCCGTGTTAGATCTGAAACAAAGATATAAACTTAATATTAAAAAATCTCATTTCCGAAAATCATGCTTGATCTATTGATGATACTTTAATTTCTTCTTGCTTCCTACTATACGCCACGATTATATATCCTTTAGTACTCCATCTTCTTCTTCTTCTTCTTGATATTAAACTGTTATGGCAAAACATCAAACCACTTTTTCCACTAGTTTCCGATCTTCTAGCTGCATTCTTGTTTTTCTCTCGGCCTTATCATCCATTCCTCTCCTCTACTGGTCTTATTTCATTGGCTATGGCTATTGTCATAGTGTCCAGATGACAGTACTAAACCATGTCCAAATGAACAAAGAAAACGTACCAATTAATCTCCTTAAATACCCAAAAGCTTGGAACAATCTCGTCTACTCATCAAAACCACCTCAAAGACTCCTTAAAGTTGCTCTCTTTGTCAAGAAATGGCCAGCAAAAAATCAGGCAGGAGGAATGGAGCGACATGCACTAACACTCTATCTCGCCTTAGCCAAACGTGGGCACGAGATTCATATTTTCACAATGTCGTCTTCATCCTCCACCAGCTCATCGTCGTCTTTTAATATGAGCAATCTCCATTTTCACTTCTCGAGACCTATGGGTTCTGGATCTCTGGACCAAATTGTTGCTTGGAAGCAATTTCTAACAGAAAGCGCAACTGCATCAAGGCCGTTTGATGTGATTCATACGGAGAGTGTAGGGCTCAGGCTTACTAGACCAAATAACTTGAATAATCTTGCGGTTAGCTGGCATGGAATTGCTTATGAGACCATACATTCTGATATTATACAGGAACTCGTGCGAAATCCTGAAGATTCACAATCATCTTCATTTAATGGTAAAATGATGAAGGTTGTTGAAGAGGTAAAGTTTTTCCAATATTATGCTCACCACGTCGCCACGAGTGATCATGTAGGCGATGTACTTAAAAGGATCTATATGATCCCAGAAGAACGCGTGCATATCATTCTAAATGGTGTCAATGAGGAGATATTCAAGCCTGATATTTCAAAGGGCAATGATTTTAGGTTAGAACTTGGTATCAGAGCAGATAAATCGAGGTCGTCCATAATCCTAGGGTTAGCTGGGAGGCTGGTTAAAGACAAAGGACACCCTTTAATGTTTGAAGCCTTAAAACAAATTTTCAAGGAGAACTCAACATTCAGGGATAGTGTCATTGTTCTAATTGCTGGAAATGGTCCGTGGGCTGATCGATACAAAGAGCTCGGATCAAATTTGATGGTTTTGGGACCACTGGAAAGAGAACGACTGGCAGGCTTCTATAATGCTATAGATATATTTGTACACCCGACTTTAAGAGCACAAGGTTTGGATCAAGTTCCGTTGGAAGCAAATCTAGTTGGTAAGCCTGTGATGGCAACAAAACTGGCAAGCTTTACTGGTTCTATCATTGTTAGCAAAGAGATGGGGTATACATTTGCACCTACAGTTGGGGAATTGAAGAAAGCGTTGTATGAGGTTTGGGAGGACGGAAAAGAAATTCTGCAGCAGAAAGGGAGAATTGCTAGGGAGAGGGGTTTGAAGTTGTTTACTGCTACCAAAATGGCTGCTGCATATGAAAGGCTATTTCTTTGTATCTCAACTACTGATGATAGAAAACAAGCAGAGAACCATGATGAAAACTATTGTATCTACCAACCGACCTCATGATCGGATACATCAAACCATACTAATTTACTATAGTTAAGTCATAAATTAAGGTGAGAATGCGGATGAAGTATGATTTAGTGCTATTTGAAGACATGTGTCATGCATTCATTGAATTGATGTTAACATCGAGCTCAGCTCATTTTGATTAACTAGGCAAGTTAAAAGGAAACTGAATTGCTTGTATTGATCAACTTTCTATTCCTAATAATGGTTTTAGTTAGATGTAACCGGGCAGCATTATTATAGCAGGTTTCTGTACTATCTATTATTTCTAGAACTAGAGTTTTGATCGTCCGGCCAAAACCCATTGGTACAAATCTTTTCCTGTCAAATGAAGCCCATAATATATATTTCTACAGAATATTCCAACTAAAGTTCCAATATAACAAAAGGTAAGTCTCCCTTTTCTCAATGAGTAAAACCATTTTCTATAGAAAATATTTTCCTCCGTGGTAAACGCACTCTACCATATTCACGGCAATATTACTTCGATAACCAGAAACTCCTTTAATTTTCTTTATCTTTTTCTCCTTTTTTTCTTGGTTAATTTTTTCAAAAAGGAAAGAAAAATACAACATTATATATGTTTAATACTATCTTCCTTTATATTATCTTTTACAAAGTAGTAGTAATTAAAAATAATTGTTTCACAAACACCCCTTAGCTGCCCTCCTAAGCTAGCCTTGGTATTTTCAAATTAATTTATTATCCTTTTGTCACATATTTTGCAGAAACAATTTTTAAAAGAGTTCAAATTTTACACTTCGAGAGTGTATAATAAGTACTCATACGCTTTCCAAGTAATCGGCACATGTTAGCATAAATATTTAAGAAACTCAAAGTGCAAATCGATGGTGATGCCAATTGGCTTGAAGACTTCACTAAGACTATTAGCAAACTGCAAATGTGTGATGATATAACTTCTCTCATGAGTCAGTGGACAGCAATAAAATATTAGTATATAAATAAATAAAAAAGAGATGTACGGATATGTTTATTGTAATTTACCATTAAATATTTTAGTGAACTATATGGCATATAATAGTAACATTTCTGGATCTTGCAAATTCTCACGTATTTTCGATTTTATGCTACAAAATTTTTGAGGTGTTGCGTCGAGTTGGGGAGGTTGCTTATGAGCTTGCCTTGCCTCCCAGTCTAGCAGGAATTCATCCGGTATTCCACGTTTCTATGCTCCGGAAGTATCACGGCGATCCGTCTCATGTGTTGGATTTCAGCTTAGTCCAGTTGGAGAGGGATCTATCTTATGTTGAGGAGCCAGTGGCTATTTTGGACAGGCAGGTCAGAAAGCTAAGATCAAAGAACATTGCTTCCGTAAAGGTTTATTGGAGGGGAACCTTTTAACTTGGAAAATAAAATCAACAATCCCGCAAACTATTTCTCATTCTTTTTCTTTAGAAGTTAAAAAAAAAAAAAAAAATTTATGCCACGTCTTCTCAAGTCAATCTTTAAAGATAACCCCAGAAACTCAGAATCTAAAATAAATATAGTTAACAACAGATGAAACAAATTTCTGGACGAGCTTGATAAATGGGTAAATCTGCTAGAGCCTCCAAAAGAAATAGATATATACATTTAGATGTTTATGTGTGATACATAATAACAAATATACATATAAAAAGTAAATAAAGAGAGAGACAAAGATTTCAACAAAACAAACTTTAAAAGATATTTGATTCTGAGAAAAGGAGAAGAAAGAAAAAAACAAAACAAAGGGAAATCATAAAGGAACGTGGGACCTCAAAAGGAGTCCCCTAATATCTTGAAAGAAAGGGAAGGGAAAAGAGAGAAACAACAAGAATTGATTTTTTTCTGAGATTATGATGATGAGCCAAAAGAGCAGTAGTGGAGAGAAAAAGGGGGAAGAAAAGGCAACAGTTGTAGCAATAGACAAAGATAAAGGAAGCCAATATGCATTAAAATGGGCAGTTGATAATCTTCTTGGCAAAGGCAAAAGTGTTACTCTTCTCCATGTTAAACTCAGACCTTCTAATTCCATTCCTAATGCAGGTTTTTTCTTCTGCCTCTTTACCCTCTTTATGTAAAATCCTCTTTATTTTTTCAAACAATTTTCCAAAATCACCACAAGATATATTGTTTTTCTAAAGCTTCTCTCCTTAATTTTGAGGGGTTGAGGAGAGGATTAATTTCCTTCTTTTTTTCTTTTTGGTCGATGTACGTTGATGCTGTAGTTTTATGTTCTGTAGTTCTTTTCTCCTTAATCTTATGTGCTGTAGTTTTAAAGAGTATACCAAAAAATTGACATCTTTTATCTCCTGTAATTATGTGGGGGTTTTCTGTGCTTGCATGTACTCACATGCAAACCATGCACAGCTTGCATATTTTTTCTCTTCAGTGTCGACCAATTTTAATCATATTGTTAATTTTGTGCTTTTGTTCTCCTCCTTTCTGAGTCTAATCATATTCACATTGTTCTTGAAAGCCAAATAGTTAACGAGGTTATAATTCTAGCTCCAATTTGGCATTTATTTGTTGGGGCAATCCATTCAGATTCTTTCAGAACTTTTCTTGTCCATTGTAAATTTTTCATGTAGACAGTACTCTCCCTTTGTCTCAATTTATGTAGCATAGTTTGATAGGGTCGGATTGTGAAAGAATGAAAAACTTTTGGAACTTGTCATCCTAAACATTACCAAAAGATCTATGTGGCTACAAAAGCATAACATTAAAGAGTAAAATGAGAAGTTTAAAGTTCAATTGTTTTCAAATACAGAATGGTACCGTTCTTTTTTGAACAAACTAAGGAAATAGTGTCACACAAAAAAGAACGGGAACGGAAGGAGTATCTTATTTCTGATTTTGGATGAAACCTTTCATTATATCCTTGTATACACAATAACCCAACGAGTGAGTTACGGTGAAATCTAACCCAGATTTAATTCTTCCCAAATATTGGAACAACAACTTCAAAATGGAAGTAAATTTCTCCACAAAAAATGATATGAAGTATTTTTAGTCAATAAAAGGTCTCTTTCTTGGCTTCAGACATAGACGGATCCAAAATTTAAACTTGATGGTTTCAATTTCTAAAGTTCTCTAAGCACTGAACTTTTGAAATTATGAGTTCATAATTTGGTATTTGTTAAAACTGTACTGTTTTTTCACATATACATCTATGTTCCGAGTTGAAAATAGTGGCTTCAGTCGAACCCATTGTCCAAAGCCTACATCTGCCACTGGCTTTAAACATGCACTCCATACTATCCACTACCTCCAAAGAAAAGAAAAGATGGAACACGTTCAAAGCATTTTTTACGTACTTGGAACAACGTTTCTTTCTCAGATGTTAATGACGGAACTCCCAGAGTATATAGAAGTGATCCTGATAGTCAAGCAAAGGAATTGTTCTTACCTTTCCGTTGCTTCTGCAACCGCAAGAATGTGAGTGTCTGCTATTTCTTACTCAGTCACTCTTTCTCAATTATTCTTCCTCGCGTTCTTGCAAACCTTCTTTCATTTTCTGAATCAGTGTTTCTCTCTTTGTCATAGATCCATGTCAATGAAGTTGTAATCGAAGGCATAGACATAGCAAACTCCATAAGTGACTATGTTGCAGCCAATGTCACAGAGAATCTGGTGGTAGGAGCTGCATCAAGGAATGGTTTCGTTAGCAGGTACTTTTTATTATTCCCAATAAGCTGTAGAATTCACCAATTCCATATCTAGCTACTTACAACACTTAGACTCAGAAGATTCAAGACGATGGACGTTCCAAGCTCTGTCTCCAAAATTGCACCTGGCTTTTGTACAGTTTATGTGATCGCGAAAGGCAAAGTTCTATCAATACGTAATGCATCCGCTCCTGTCCCCAATCCACCCCCTTCCCTGCTGCAGAATCAGACCAGCTCCTCTCTTGGTGCTAAGCTTGGCTTCATTGAGGCACGTTATGCACCAAGCAACGACTCAAGAGGTCTGCTTTGCACTAGCGTATTGCATTAATTCTGTCAATAAAACAATAATATTGTTAAAACAGGTTTAACCTGTCCTATTTCAACAGGAAGTATGGCTGATAGGTCACCGTACGCACCACGAAGTTCAACTGAAGATTCAGATTTCATCAAGTAAGTTTTTCAGAGAATCAGGAAATGGACAATACTTTATGCAGTATATAAGAGGAACTGCAAAATTTACTACTCGAAAGGGTTGATTAGCATAGAACTACTCAACTTTTATGTCTCTCTTTCAACAGGTCCCCATTCAACAGAGGTAAACCTGTAAACAGATCATATGGAGACCTCTCAGTGGCAGAATCTGACATATCATTTGTGAGCTCTAACCGTCCAAGCTCAGATTGTACATTTCCGATCTCCTCTGACAGTCACGATTTGGGTCTTCCCCCTCGGCTTTCAAACAGCTCAGACACAGATAATAGATTTTCTGCTCCTCGGCTTTCAAACAGCTCAGAAACAGATAGCAGATTAAGCTTTGGATCATCATTCTCAGCAACCAGGTTATCTGAAGTTAATGCCTTCTCATCAAATTCTTTTGACAGTGCCAACGGATCAACCAATAACCTGGTATGCATTTCAACATCCAAAGTACAGTAATATCTGCAAAAATCTGTCAAGAAACACTAGATATACAATATCACACAAGCAATCTACCAAGCACAAAATTGATTTTATAACTTTAACTTCAAGAAAAATAAAGGAAAATAAATATGGTGCAACAAACTCTAATCATTTCAACCAAGCACAAAATTGATTTTATAACTTTAACTCATCTTGGCCAAAAGTCTTTTGCTGGAACTTATCCTCCTCATGCTTCCAGAAAATGTATTTCATCACCTTCTTTTGTTATGGTGGTGTTGTTATTTAAACTTTCCTATGTTTCAATAAAGCTGTGACAGTGAAAGGTTTCTTTTACAACTATTACCACCAAATACAGAAGATTCATGGTAAACATTTTACTCTAAATGTAGGAAGACATTGAAGCGGAGATGAGAAGACTCAAGCAGGAGCTCAAGCAGACCATGGACATGTACAGCACAGCATGCAAGGAGGCACTTTCAGCAAAGCATAAGGTATTAATTTGAGGTGGTGAAAAATTCTGATGTCACCACAACATGGTACTTCTTATCAAAGTATAGTACATTAATGTATCAGAATATGTTGGAAAGTTCCCTCTTGCAAACTGGAATCTAGCCTAAGTTCTTTCATGCAGGCACTGGAACTTCACCGCTGGAAAGTAGAAGAAGAACAAAGATTAGAAGAGGCACGATCAGCTGAGGAAGCAGCACTGGCCATTGCAGAGAAAGAAAAAGCAAAGTGTAAGGCAGCCCTTGAAGCTGCAGAAGAGGCACAGAGGATCGCCGAACGGGAGGCACAGAGAAGAATCCATGCAGAAAGGAAAGCATTAAAAGAAGCTGAAGAGAAGAAGAAGGTATTGGATGCCCTTGCACAAAGTGATTGCCGCTACCGTAAGTATACAATAGAGGAGATTGAAGCAGCAACGGATAACTTTGCAGCGTCTCGTAAAATTGGGGAAGGTGGATACGGGCCGGTATATAAGTGTTGCTTGGATCACACGCAGGTTGCAATTAAGGTTCTTCGTCCTGACGCTGCTCAAGGAAGGTCACAGTTTCAGCAAGAGGTATGCGAATAGAGGAATTCTTCCTTTGGCAAAAGAAAGTCACTATGTGAAGACATTTAGGGAACATATGTGAACTGTTTATCTTGCAGAACAATAGAATATTAATGTTGTGCTGTAGCATTCTAGCATCATGGTTCACAACCACTAAGCATCTTAGTAAATGCTTGTGTCCTTCTTCGACCAAACTACTCAGCGCTCAACAAACAAAACATGAGTAATCGGAACTACAGAGTCTCGCTACTTGCATATAATACAATATTGACCACACCACACCACCACCACCACCCTCCCCCCAAGAAAAGCGATACCAAGCAAATCCAATCAGTTATACAGTAGTCCCAAAAAGGTTAGATTTTCTCATGCCCCTTTTCATTTGCTCTGATGCAGGTTGAAGTTCTAAGCTGCATAAGGCATCCAAATATGGTTCTTCTACTTGGAGCCTGCCCTGAATTTGGCTGCCTAGTGTATGAGTACATGGCCAATGGGAGCTTAGATGATCGCCTCTTCCGAAGAGGAAACACTCCAGTT